AATTCACCGAAGTACGCGGACGGCTGACTGCAACCTAATATACGGTCGGATTCGAAAGGATCGACACTCTTGCATACAACCCACAATTTGTGACTTATAGCGAAGGGGCTGACCTGTGTTTTTCGCTGACTCGGGGAGGGTGGCACACACGTAATAGTAGTGTCTGAAGTCCGAACTAGTGAGGAATACGTAATACACGTGAATAACTTAGAAGTCAAAAGACATTTCTGTTCAGGACACATCACATCAAGTATAATTCGATTTGTTCACATGTTGAGATGATAAACTCGGCTCAGCTGAGCGTGCTGCGTGTGCTCGTTAGACTGACAACAAACAATGAGGTCTCAGAAAGACAGGAAAAAACTGAATTACTGACGACAGGAAAAGCCGTCCTAATTGTGAATATCTGAAACCGGGTTGTTTATCGTTCGTTGTTATATTCACGATGAGCAAAGCATGAGTAAAAGTGTGTACATACCGTTAGTGTGAACTGACGGGGGGTGGGGGGTGGAGGTAATTCTTTAATGATACAACCATGGTAACACCAGTAATTGAAACATGTTTGTCTCTTGTACTTCATTACTATACTTACTGCAGTTGTCGATGAGGGAGTCACTATTGTTATCCTCATCTCATCCTCACACTCCCTCTTGGCTGGATTGTCTTTTAACCACACATTCACACATGTCTTATGGGTACATTTTGCTTATAGTGAACGTCTCACATGTTTTACCTTAATGATAGTGATAATAGATTCGCTATTAACTGAACCAGTGCAAACGATCAAGTACGGTCGTTTCAACCGTTCTAGAAAGCCCGCATCGAGTCAATTTGATCGATTACCTCAAACTTACGAACCTAACGTAACATGTGAGTGTATATGTGTGTGTCACGGTCCACATCACGTGCGGTGACAAGCTATTGGGTGGACTGACGAAGGGGTGGCAGAGGAAAAATTGTTTGAGTTCCAAGGTTGCAGTCTACGACCCTTGTCAAGGTACCGCAAGTACTTTCGTGCACCTCAGCCATAAGTTCCGATCGCTCGGTTATCCTGATATCGTAGACCATACCTGTCACCAGAGTAGTAGCATCATTTGATCGCATTTAGTCCCCTGCGGTTCAGTTTAGCATTAGTGACTTTTGAGGCCCTTTCTCAAAACAAGACGGTTGCTGAAGTCACCGATGGGCCTTGACAAATTCGTGGTGATAATTCATAAGTTAACCTGCCAAACGTGCTGCACACACAGAGAGAAACCTAAGGTTAGGTGACAATCGAATAATCTGCCAGTATATGCTTATGCTCCTAGCGCAGCTGCGGGCATAGCCCAATAGTTGGGTTAAGTGAATGACACATAAAGGCAGCATATGGAGAAATGTTTTGTGATATACGCAAATATGTGCAAATTTCCCACCATGAATGGTTTATAAACGGAGTACACACACAGTACGTTGAAGCCAATGGCGGAACCTTTCGTCAACGGAAACAAGAGAATGCTGCATGGGCGAAGGCAATCTGTCTTGAAACATGGACTGATGCATACCGGTGAATCAGTATGCCCGGGACTCCGAAATAGTTAGATTCAAAAGGCTTAAATCAATATCTCTATTTTTAACTATTGTAGATAACATAACTGTTTACAAAATTCAGAATTTCACAATGGATTCATTGGTAGCTTGAAATCAGTAATGATATAACTGATATTTTCACTTGGGCTTTTTAGATTACAATCACTTTGTTATGTATACACAAGACTGCCAAAGAATTTTCCGCAAAATTTAATGGATTCTAGCTCCTATACATCCGAACGAAACGTGAAATACAAGGAAAAATTTCTCAGCAAGTCAAGAGACAACTTCCACTTGTGAGCATTCAACCAAATAACAGATGTGTTTAAGTTTTCGAGTTCATGCAACTGAATATTGGTTTTCACAATGTACAACAAGTGCTACACGTATCAATCTATCTGCATATAGCAGATAGACAGGTGCGGGTAGCACTCTGGATGACTGGGTATCACTTTACAAATCGAATCCATTGAGTAAAAGAGCAACTCAAATGGAGTTCCTAATGAAGTGGCGCGATATTTGGTAAATTGAATTATTTGGATCCAGACGCACCCGACGGACAAATGTTCTTCCGGCATAATGAGGAAACGATAGTTTGCCTTAAACTGCCAAGCATTCCGTGGTGCCCTTGTGTTGGGTTTGGGGTACGATTGTCACGATAATCAAATAATGTCTGGAGGTTCCCTGATCAAAACAGACTTCAAAAGTTTGAACGATACTTTTGAACAGAGAAGTCATAAACATGAGGTTGCACAATGAATCCATGGTCATTTCTCTGCATCTGTACACGTGCATACTGCAGTCAAGTGATTTTTTATAGTCAGTGAGATAATATCTGTGAGACGAAGACAAGATCGCTAATCACAACGGACAACATGACACAACACAAACAAGGGAGGGACGAGAGAGGATAGGGAGTCAATCCCCAAGGCAAGGTTAATGAGACTAACCATTCACGTTGTTTGCATAGATTGGGTTTGAGAGTATGAATGGCTAGAGCCTCGGCAAATTTCGGTAACTTTGTGTTTGTTGAGTTGTAGATGACCTGAAATGCGCGGGTTGGACTGACGATGTTTTTGTTCGAATAAATGTTGTTATTGAAGATCTAAATCTTTTCTGATCATTCGATGACGTAACGGTTACAAACTTGTCCTCCATCGCTTTCTAAAGCCACACCGGGATGTGTTCGGTCATTCGGTGACGTAACTGCCTCTCAGTCCCGAACATCCACACTTGAATTGGGGGAAACTCAGGCGGTGGTGGTGGGGTTCGAACACACATGATAATTTATTGACGTTACCACCGGCCACCACCACTTTGTAACTGATTTCCAGGATTCTTCATGTACTCGTCAGTGGAGGTGACTGTTTATCGCGGTGTAGAAAATCGCCGATCAAGATTAAGACAACCGTGGGTAGAATATTTTACCGACCGCCACTTAATACCCCATAGAGCACCCGGTACAGAGCTTTTATCTCCTGTGGGATCATGGATAACTGTAACTCATTCTTATCACCACGTTTCTCATTCATTAAACTTTAAAGATCGTACACATGTAATCAGTATGTTGAAAGATGAGACGGGTTGATCAATGATACAATAAAGATAAGAACCTATGCGATGAAGCTTAGTACCGAAGGTAGAAGCCGCAGGTAACGGATTGTTCCCATTGGCATTGTGGACTGAATGTATTAATCAGCCAGGGAATGACAGAAAAAATATGATTTATGTTAGCTAGTGAATAGGTTTGCATTGGATCTTACTATTCACGTGAAATACTGTTATTTCTTTCACTGTATCCTCGTACCAATGTTAAGTATCTTGTTCGGTGCACATTTCAATGCTGGAAATATTCAGGCAATTTAGTTCAGTTTTTACAACCATTAACCATGCATTTTCGTGCGCCGGTTTTCCTTGCTGTCTTTCGGAGTCCCATTTGGATAAAAGAGCAGCACGAAGATTGGAATGTTGAAAGCAACTTCAAGCGGAAGATGGGGAATTCATATAGAGTGGTGTTAGGAAAATAACGAGTGAATACACGAGCGCCACTGTTTGCGACACCCAGCCATATCACTCAGTGTAGCTAACCATCGGTGACCATCATCCCGAGGTCCCCAGCCAGGGAGCCTAACGGGGTCTATGTGACCTAGTCACCTAGTTGGGGTTTTCATACCCTCATGCCAGGTCTTCCTTTGACCACCCTTGATCTTTTTCCAACCGCTGTCTGCCTCGGCAAACATCGTTCGCCGTGGTAACCTATTTGGTGACATGCGTAGCACATGTCCCAACCACCGTAATCTATGGACGTCGATCACTTGTCCCAGTGGACGACCGCGACTGCCTAAAACTCTATGCCTAACCTCAGCATTGCTAGTCCGGTTACCCCACCAGACTCGTGCAATGCGACGTAGACAGCGGCGTTCGAACACCGAAAATCCATTTTTATCCTGTTCTCGTAGTGGCTAAGTTTCTGCACTGCAGAGCAGGACTGGCCGAACTGCTGCAGCATACACTCGACCCTTCACAGACAGCCGGATGTCTCGACGGCGCCACAAATTTCTCAAGAACAGCCCACCTCACCCCATCGAAACTTTCATCCTCGCTCGATAACTTAGTCAGAAAGTACTTTCGTTTGGTTATGGAGACGTTAGTTCGTTCGGACTGGACGGGGTTCAGGCAGACCCGGTGCAATCGGTGACGTTTGACGGCCGAAACATCAATAATCTTCTGGGGTTTCCAGTGGGGTGCGATTGGTTGGATTCATATGAAGTTGAAAAGTTATAGTTCCATCAATGCGCGGCAGAAATTCGAAATGAAAATGATCCGAACTCTTATTGTGAGTACGTTTAGATGATATTTCAGTTAAGAGCAATAAAGGTGGTTGCACTTGGTCACCGGGTGTTTTATCGTAATCATTTGGCGAAGGGTGGAGGTGGGGGTGCGCTACACCATTTTGCATCTCTGCCTCAGATCCAATTAATTGGCCCAGTTACAGGTTAAATTTGTAAACCAGCCTAATATAGTGACAAGTAGAGTACAAAGGGACGATCCCATGTACGTGCATTCGCGAGAAACTGTACAAGAAGGAGAGTGCGCTGAAAGTGTTTTGTTCATTGCATGTTGTTGTGAGAATAGTAAGCGGATCGCTACCTCAGGCTTACGCCTTTGGTAGACCAAAAGACAGTAGCTAACTAACTACAGGGTTCACCTTTTCATTTCAGGAAAACGTCACAGCATATAAAGAGAAACAGAGACAAACTTCCGGTTGGTCCGATCAATGAACTTACCCTGAACAGTATCGTTCATTTCCACATAGTGTTCAAGTGCGTCAGTCACCGGACTGAGGATAAAGAAAATTTCACCTTCATCAAGCAAGATACGAAAGCAAAGTAATGGGCAAGATAGATTGAACAATCGAGTGAGATAACGTAAGTTCAATATTTATTCCCCATGGAACCAGATAACAGGGTGAAACGAACAGTAACCACACTCTGAATGTGAACCATAGTAGAAGAAACGATGCAGCAGTAGCAATTAGGATGTGGCAAAATAGACGTGCTCTACGGAAAATCGGCTATTATCTTCCTTCACAATTTTTGCTGACTTCATACAACCTCCATATGTCTATTTATCCCAGTGATACAAAACCACTCTTCTATAAGTTCCGCAGTAACATCTACATAAGGCCATTTGTTACTTAACGCACTCGAGTCTACGCACACCGAGCATGAGTCTCAATTACATTTCAAAACAACTTTGACGGGTAATCCTTTTTATTAATCGCTACTTCCTTCAATCGATGCAGTGACAAATGTATATATTTTTGTCTGAAATGAGGACATTTGTCTGTGCAAAAATGCTAACAAATCCAAATATTTAGTCGGTTATCATTCACACAACTTGCGTGGCGGGAAAACAACTTCATGTTTTCATTTGCGATGTGAGTGTTTATAGTGGTCGTTTTCATAGAGCACCGTTTCCTTATAGTAGAATTTATTTTTTGCACCCTGAACGGAACTCGAACTCAGGTCGAGAGCAGATGACCTTAACATTTGAGCTACACAAACAAAGATGAACACCTTGTGTGATAGAGTGCATTAACGTTTAAAACCGTGATAGTTGGACTGACCCATTGGACTGCACAGCATGTTGTTTTATTGTGCCTAATTCCAGCGAAATCCGGCGGGCTAGTCAAACCACTATAGAAACTTCACTTTTCATCTACCACTTGATTTACAAACAATATAAAACAATCTTGAACCGAAAATTTGAGACACAATGTCCATCCACTAACGCATCCAAAGACAAACTCTACTGCACTCGTTCCATGAATGTCTTCAGTCGTGTGGTTAGACACGGGTCAGAAGCTACCGATTGGGGAGAAACCACTAGAGACGACAAATTGAGTTGCTATCGACGTGAATCGACATACCATGTGCAGAAAGACACAATGAACTCAAACACAGTCTATATCGATAAATTGGAGAGATGAAAAACCATATTTAACGGTGTACATGAAAATGTTAAGGTGTATGAAACTGGAGAATGCAGAATTGGCATCAATAAAAAAAACTGCGAATGAACCACGCGAAATGGGCAGACATACACGGACACAACCGACTGGTTCGGGGATAGTGATGAGCCTGGAGCGGCTATGGAAGGGAGATTGACACGTCCACCTGCGCTATGCGTCTTCCGATGTGAGCATATTTTGTGTTTGGTTTTTCTTGACGGGAACAATTCAGCAGCATCAAATGACCTGGTGCGCCGCATGGATCGTCCAGAATGACCGAAGCTAGAAGCCCATTCAGTTCCCGGTGGAGATGTTCCCCGACTAAGCGTGTCCCATGAACGTTCAACAGAATTGGACAGAGCAGGCGCCGGTTTGGATCCGTCAGACTGGTTCGATTCAATTCCGAAACTCACTCGGCTTGGTCTGGTTTCTGTCGGATTGCTTGAAGCGGCGGTGTGAATCACGGTACTGGGACGTGGCAATCTGGGGAGGCTGATAAAGAGTAGCGAAAAAAACAAATTAGGACTATGTTAATAACAAGGTAGAATAGCAGACCATGAAACATCCTACAGTCATTTGTAATCACATTAAAACTATGACCACTTCAGCGAAGGATAAATAGTTTAATTTGTATAAGTAACTTGCTTCCCACGCGAGATATTTTGTAGAGACTCAGTTTTATTTTTTTATAACCATTAACCATGAACCTTTGTGCGGCGGTTTTGGTTTCAGACTTTTGGCTATCCATTTAGACAACTGAGTAGAATAGTGG